GCAGCTACGTCACACTGAGGACCTTCCTCAGCATTGTCTCCGTCCTCGACCTAACCCCGATGCAGCTCAACATGAAGAACGCCTTTCTGCAGAGGAAGCTTGACAGGGTGCTGTACATGTATCAGCCGGGCCACTTCAACGACGGGACCGGCCGGGTGTGCAAGCTGCTGAAGAGCCTGTACGGGCTGAAGTTGTCGCCGATGCTGTGGTACAAGGTGCTCGACGCCGTGTTGATGGGCGCCGGCTGGAAGAAGAGCCAGTTCGACAAGGCGTTGTACTTCAAGGTTGGCGCCGATAGAGTGGCCTGCTGGGAACTGGTCTATGTCGACGACCTGCTCGCCGCCAGAAGCAGCACGAAGGAGCTGAAGGAGCTATTAGAGGCCGCCTTCAAGCTGCGCGAGATCTCGCCGGTGGAAAGGTACCTCGGCTGGAGATCGTGCGTGACAGGCCGACGATGAAGCTGTGGATGCACCGGCAGGGCTACGGCGATAAGCTGCGCAGGCGTTTCATCGACGAGGAGCAGACCGGGCGCACCCCGAAGACGCCGGTCTCGGTGGACGCCTACGCCAGGCTGACGTTTGACGACGAGGAGGAACAGGAGCGTCAGGAGGAGGAGTACTGGCAAAGATCTGCTTGCTGCAGTTCGCGGCGACGGAGACGAGGCCGGACATCGCCTTCGCCTGCAGCAAGCCGCGGAGCGACCTCACGGTGAGGAGCGACCAGCACTGGCACGAGGTCGACCGCTGCCTCGCCTACCTCGCCAACACTCGTCACACCGCCTTGGAGTTTGGCGGTGGACCAGAGTCGCTGGAGCTGGTCGGTTACGTGGACGCCGACGACGCAGGCGACAAGCAGAACCGGACCAGTACGGGCAGTTACGTGTTCGACTACGGAGGGGCCAGAATCTCCTGGTCGAGCCAGCACATTATATGCGCGACGCTGTCATCGACCGAGTCGGAGTACGTGGCGGCCACTGAAGCGGGCTAGAAGGGACGTCGCCTTCGCTTCCTCCTTGCAGAGTTCCGGCAGCTGGACGCCGGGACGCCGACCGTCCTTCGGGTGGACAACAAGTCGGCCATCACGGTCGCCGAGGGCATGGGGCTGACAGGCAACCTCAAGCACATGGTGCAACGTTACGCCTGGCTGCAGTACATGGTAAAGCGCGGGAAGGCGCTGAGTTGCCGACCGACTTTCTCACGAAGGCGCTGCACTATCCGGCCTTCAACCGGTGCTCCGTCGCAATCGGCCAAATGCGCCTGGCCAACGTGGGCAACGGCGACAACGACGTGTAGCAATAGGTGCCATGCCCTCTTGCATTGCTGGTGCGGTGACCAGCGTGCTGTGTGCTGTGTGCATGCCAACGAGCTATCCTCCGAGTGGTGCTGCCGTGTTGGCTTGGGGCCGAAGCGTTAACGCGGCAGGGGAGTGTCAAAGGGAGTTGTTGTTGGCCCCGTCCTCGCTTGGGCGGAGCCGACTTCGTAGTCAGGTTTGTGGGGAGCGCAGCCGATCAGCTGCAGTGGGCGACGCAGGTTGACAAGCTGGTCGACCTGCTCGAGGCCACTGCCACACCACCGACGATGGGGAGCCGGCGGTCGAACAGTCCTGGTGGTCGAAGAGGGTGGACGCCGACCTTGGGAGGCGCCGACGTCGATTTCGACAGGGGGGCTGGAGGGTGCCGAGTTCGGGTGGTCGACCTGGCGAGGTCGACCTCGGAGGCGTCGACTTGGTGACGCCGACCTCGGAGTGGCCGACTTGGTGACGTCGGCTGGTGGTCGGTAACTTGGGCAGTCGACGAGCACATACAACTTTCACCGAGGAAGTCGACGTCGAACTGGTGGTTTCCAGGTCGACCAAGTTACCCGGGCGACGAAGTTCTGCGGAGGTGCGCGACAGTCGCCCAGGTGGTTCTGTCGAGGCCGACCTCGGTGATGGTATTCCGAGGTAGACGTGGAGGATCGGGTGCAGACGTGGGCCATGGTCGGCGTGGCGAATGCGCTGTGAGAGTGACGAGGCACCGCACGCCAACCAGCTGCGAGCACCTGCGAAGTGGGTGCACTGCTGTCCTGCGGGTGCAACGCTGTGCAGCCGCCTTGCTGCAGTGTTGGCACGCCGTCGACCTGCAGTGTTGGCAGACCGTGACATTGCAGTGCTGGAGCACGGTCGACCAAGTCGTGCTGGAACGCGGTCGACCGTTTTGCGCTGGCAGTCAACCGTCTTGCATGCTAGCATTTGATGTAGTCTTGCTTGCCAACTTCATTCTGAACCATTGCTGTCAACTTAATGAAATTCTTGCCAAATTCTCCCGTGAACTAGCAAGCGGTGTGTGCACAAGGAAACGGCTTAGGAACGCAGAGATCACTCCTACTCGTGCCTAGCCCGTAGTTTAGCTCCCCATGATTAAGTTATCTCCGCAGAACCTGGAAAGGGATTTTAGGAGGTAAGCGACTCTATCGGGGCGTCCTTGGATGCTGAAGTTGAATCTTGAATTATTGTTGTTTCTAGAATTGTTGGGAACGGTTCCCGTGTTGCTGCTGGTGCTGCTGCTGTTTCTGGCGGTGCTGTTTATCGTACTGCTCCTGCTGCTGCTTCCGCTAACATTGCAGCTGACGCTTTTGCGCGGAGAAGGTGGCTTTCGAGCGCTGATAGAAGCAAAGAAGGTGGAGGGAATGGATGTCTGAATGAGACAAGCCATCGCTTGCAGACAAGCGAGAGACGTAACGGGGGAGAGTCGTCGGCGGAAGCTAGACGGAGGACGGAGCACAGGAGGTCGTCTGATAAACGGTTGACTGGCGGAGTTGCCGCGTTAGGTGACGTCAGCAGATCGTCAGACAGACGGTCGGAAGCAACGGTCGAGGATTCGTCCACCGATGTGTCAAAAGAATGTGGCATCTCAGAGTTAAGCTGAGCAACAGCGCGGTGAGAAACTGGCGCCGAAGGCTCACTGGGGGCTTCACCTGGGCGTGTCGCCGGAAAGTACGGGCTGGGAGGTGCTCGACCTGACCAACAAAATGGTGGTCACGTCGTTCGAGGTGTCTGTTGGCGGGTGTGCCTGCGTCCGCCCCGACGCCACGACCAGGTCGACAAGCCTGCTGATGAGGCTTTTAGCCGCCTGTCTGCCCAAGAGCCGAAGAAACCGCAGTGTGTTGCGTGCCTGGGCCCCATACGTCTCCACTGCAAGCCCGAACACCCTTACGAAATCCGCGCGGCCCTCATATATTCCCCTCTTCCCTCTCGCTGCGTCCTCCGCCGCCCAGCCAGGCAGCTTCACCGCCCTGGTGTCGCGGCGCTGCAGTATGGGATCGGTCACCGTGACGTCGGTTACGTACGTCTCGGCCGACTCCTTGTCCTTGATGGCCAGGTCCGCTCTCTTGGGTATTGACTGGTTGCGAGTAGACCGTGGTCTCATGCAGGGTGAGGTAGTCAGCTTCCCTGGGCATGCGCAGCGCTGCATATACTAGGGTGTTGTGTGTGTTTGTCCTCTCCTTCTCTTCCCCACACCGCAGCAGGTGGTTTGGTAGGCTCAGGTCCCCAATCTTCCCCCGCTCCCCCTGGTATGGGCAGTTGTCGGTCACCGACAGAGTCAATCCCAGGCGGAAGCCCAGGGCTATAGCAAACTGTCCCGGCGAGAACGTCAGGTCTGCCCGAGTGGGGATGGCATGAAGCCAGTCCCCCGCCCCCACCCCCTGTAGGCTAATCAGTCGGATTACACAGCCGTTGTCTTCCCTGGGCTTGTCCATCCGAGTGTCGCCTACCAACTCTGCCGCGCGTCTAAGGTTGATGTGTTTTGACAGTTGCTCCTGTAGGCGGCCCTTCCCTCATCTGTTGTCCCCGTCTCCTTTAGCAGTTCCCGTGCTTCCTCGAGGAGTCTGTTCCTTAGGTCCCGAAGTGTCTCTCCCCCCCTCCCCGCCATTCCCTCACCAAGTGGTGACACTAGCGCCGCCACCTGCTGCAGCTGGTGGTTTGGGGAGGGTGGCATTTGCTGAAGTAGCATCTGCGTCGCTTTTAACGACGAGAGGTAGGCCGCCGGTGCTTCCGACAGAGGGTCTATCAGCCCTACGCCGCCAAGCGCAATGGGCATCGACGCCTACCTCCACACCAGACTCTGTTCCAACTCCTTAGATGGTAAGTTGATGTTGGCCGCCCTTAGTGCCGTCCACAACAACCTCTCGTTGGGTCGTCCGCGATGTCACTGGGTGAGCGCTCTTTGCTGGCGGGCTCATTGGCCTGCTCAACTGGTGATTCGCCCACCTGTCCTGCTGCAGCTGCATTCCTTCCTTCTCGCCCTCGTCTACCGCCATGTCCCCGTCTACCCTCGTTGCCCACGGGGACCCCATCATCGGCTTCCACCAAGACCTCATCCGAATCTGCCTGTTCCTCCCCAATATATTCTGACTCATTTTCTTCAGCAGGGTCATTTATTGGCTCTGCGTTCTGTTCCTCTGGCCTCCCGTGTCTTTCCCGCCAGTTCCCTGATCTGGCTATTTCCCTTGCGACGGATCTCGCAACCTCCCCCACGCGTCCCCCCCTGCCTCGGCCCCTCCCTCGTCCCCTTGTGGCCGCGTTTCTCGCCGCGTTTTGCGGCTGCTGGGCCATCGCACGATCTTCCGCCTGCTCTCGTAAGGTCCTCTGTCTGCTCGTTTTGTTCCTCTGCCTTAGCCACGTTGCCGCCGCCGACGCTATCGCCTCTTCCTCCCTGTTTTCCTCCCTATTCTCCTCGAGCCGCTCAGCTGTCTGGTGTTCCTCCTCTGCTCCTCCTTGTGCGTGCAGGTCGTGGTTCGATGACGGGCAAGCGCCAACCCTCCTCCCGGGCGGACCGCCCGGCTGGCCCTCCTGTTGCTCCCAGCCTCTCAAAGGCCCCGGACGGGCTGGCGCCAGCCCTGCTCCGAGCCGCCGCGGCCCTGGTCGAGCGCGAGGGGGCCGGATCTCCCTCCCGTCGTCGAAAGTCCGTCTATCACCTCCCTCGCGGGCGGACGCATCCACATCTCCGGGCCCAGGGCGGCTCATTCCGTCGTTGCCCCCGCCTCGGCATCCTCCTGCTGTCCAGCGGGAGATCGTCGGGCCCTTGCTTCGGACGCGCGGTCACCATCACCCGGGCGCAGGGCCGTCGTGCCTGCCGTCTGCCTCTCTCCCATCGTCTCAGCAACTGTGATCAGTCCCCGCCGAGTCGTCTCCCTCGGCGTCGCCACCCCCTCCTGCCCCATCAATGTCACCCTTGGTGCCGTCATCCCCCGCGCCTCCTTCTGTGGCTCCTCCACCTCTGGCGCCTGCAGATGTGGCACCTCCTCTGTTTCCCGCTCGTTCGCCGTCTCCTCTGGCCGCGGTTCCTCCGGTTGAGCCTCCCCAGCGGCTGCATCCCCTGGTTCCTCCCCATCCCGCCCCTGTCGCTCGCTTCCCTCCGCCTCGTGGCCAGTCTCCCCCGCTTCTGCACGACGCACCTGATCCTAAGGGCGACAAGAAGTGGTGGAACGGAGAGCTGTGGTAGTCTCCTCCTCAGTCCGAGACAACGTGGGGTCGGGACTGGGACATGAAGTCCGACTTCGTCCTTGACGTCCTCTGCTGGGAGCGTCGCATGATCGGCGTCAGCTAGTGCCTCTCCCACGTGGCGACGGAGTTGGAGCAGCTGCACGCTGGTCTAGAGGCACGAAACTCCATGCTGCGGGATCCCTAGCTGACCGAGCAGCAGCAGGGTGTTGTCCGTGCGGCTGCGGCGCAGGGCTTGTGAAGGCTCCTCCGCTTGCCTCTTGAGTCCGAGCATCCTGACGAGAACGAGGGGGCGGGCGCGAGGGCTTTCCGCAGGGTAGCCACGGCTGCCGAAGAAATGAACCCACGAACTGAAAAATACCCACCAGGCCCACGGCCTTATATAGCAGGGGTAGGGGCGGCTGAGAGGCTAAGGGACTAAGGGACTATGCCTCTCTCAAGCAGTCCTATATTGATATGGTTTATAGGGTACAAGCAAGGCATGGGTGGTACGGCCAACGCTATGTGAGTAGTACCTGGCCTACTCACACATGCATTCCTTGCCATATCTCTGCTCCCCCTGACCCGCGGCAGCCCCCAGCCTGCAAGCAATCCCTACAGCCCTTCCGCAGTGGCCCATCCTAGCCCTGTTCTCGCCCCCCGCTACTACCCTCCCACCCTCTATATTCTTAGGTCCCACTCTTCCTCCACCTTATCCTCCAGGGCCTGCCATAGGTTCCCCAGGCCTGGCTCCCAAGGGTCGGCCCATGCCTGGGGGTATGCTGCCTCGGCCGCCCTATTGGACTTTGCCAGCATGGCATTGGCTTAGCAGCGCTGCAGCATTACCGACCAGCGCTGTCGGTAGTGCGCAGTAAACCTAGAAGCAACCGTGGTCAGCCTCCCTTGGCGGTGCTTCTTCCTGGCCGCGCTCGTGCCCAGAATGCAGAAGAATTTTTGGGTGTCCCACTGACTGGGCTCTTTGCAGAGCCACGGACCAGCGTTGCTTGAAGAGATGAAGGAACCGGGCTGCATGGTGAGAGGTAGGTTGGGCGTTGAAGTGATGCCTAGCAGCCGTATCCGCGAGTAACTTCAGAAATTTTGGGACCTCCGCACAGGGGCAGCCGTAAGTTTCAACTGCAAGGGGGAAGAAGCCGACCGTGTCGGGCCGGTTAGCGCATTGTTTGATTTTATTATCTATCTGCTCCCTTGCTGCCCATCCCCTCCCCTTAGTAGCATTGGGATCCCTCGAGCTAATTGGATCCATGATGGTGACATCACAGGCGTAGACCGCCCCGGAGCTCTTATCACGCATGGTGAAGTCGGTGGTCTGCTCTTCTATGAGGCAGTATGCAGCTGATTCACTGTGAACTATGAAGCCAGCATCCTGCGCCATCGTAATACACGCATCCCTCAGTTCATTGTGGGTGTTGATTCTGTGCTTGCCCGTGCCGCAGCGGAAGAGGTGGTTCGGCAGCAATGGGTCCTTGATCTCTACATGCTTAGAGCAGTCACAGTTTTTGGGTGTAGAGAAGGGAAGCCCTAGTCTGAAGCGAACTGCATAGGCGAAGTGCTCGGGACCTACTCTGCGGGTATGTTCTATCGGGACTGCAGTCAGCCAGTCCCCGGTGCCGTAGCCAGTCAGAGAGAAGAATCGTTGGGTATGGCCTGACAATGGGTTCAGTCGCATGCGCCGAGTTGCCTGTACCTGTTTGGCATATCTCTTCCCCTGCACTCTCACCCCGAGCTCGTGCTGCAGCTTTAGGTCTGAAGGCTCGAGTCTCTCCTTGTCTAGAACGTCCCTGGCCTCCTGCGGCAGTGTTCTATCGCATTCGGCCAGCCAGCGGTGTAGATTGGTGGTGTTATCTCGCGGAAGTAGCATGTGATTCCTCGCCGCTGTCAAGGCCACTTCTGACTCCAGCGGCAGGGCACTAAGGAGATTTGAGGCTTGCATAAAACTGGCAAGGAAGCCGAATGTTCCCTCCACCGTGGGGTCTGTGAGTCCTATGCCTCCTAACGACGGTGGGAGTGACGACTGCTCCCAAACCCTGGTCTGTTATTCTCCGTCCGATGGTAAGCGTATGCCGCATGCTGTAAGGAGGGTGGCCAGCAGGTCCCTACCCCACTAGAGCCAGATGTCACTGTCCAGAAGATTCAGAGGGGTCGTTTGCATGAGATACGCTACTCGACGTGAGATGTAGCGAGTGAGCAGGAGAGATGCGATCTGCGGATCCATTCGTTCTATCAGTGGCAGAGGTTTGGACATCGACTGGAGCTGCGCGGATGGGAAGGAGGCGGCACCCTCCGGTGTTCCTAGGAAGCTACCGAGAAGCCGGACACCCTCCGTGCTAGTCGGCACCCCGGGCGGCAGCTGCACTTCCTCGTCTATCGTGTGGTTGCTCCATGCGACACATTTCTCCGGGTTGTGTCGCATACCTACTTGGGATAATTGGTTCGTGAAATGCGATAAGGCAGCTACGGTATTGAGGTGTTCGCACAAGAAGCTGACATCATCGGCGTATGCCAGGCACAGTACGCCGGGATGTGCTGCTGCCGTTGCTCTTAATGCGGGGTGGATCCCGGCCGCAAACAGAAGCGGACCTAAGGGGTCCCCTTGTCGCACCCCGCGTTCACTTCTCAGTGGCGCGCTACTGAAACTGACGTCCAAGTAGAGTGATGATGGGTGGCCGTATGTCATCTTGACTAGGGGCAGTAGAGGTGAAAGTGACGGGTCTTGTAGAGAAGTTATTATGGCTTGTCTCGATATGCTATTGAAGGCGTTGGAAATATCTGTCTGTAGCGTAAGGCAGTTTGGGTGTGCATCCGTGAATGCTCGAGCACTGTGGATGATTGCCTCGGCTCCTCCTGACACAGCTACACCATACTGGAGCAGGAGAAAATATCCCCGCGCTGCTTCGCCCGGGGCTGCCAGCGCAGCTTTTGCAGTCAGGCGGGTCAGGCTTTCTCCAATCGCTATCGGGTGAGCCCCACCCTCTAGCTTGGCCAGAGCTATCAGACGTGATGATGTGAGCAGTTCCGCGACTGGCAGCGGCAGATTTCCTCTCAGGATCGTATTTACTTAGGCGTACAGATGGGTCGAAACCGATGCATTGGTTACTGACGAGTCGCGAAGATATTCGAATGTCATTCCGCTCGGGCCGGCCCCAACGCCATTCTGGCATCGGCTGAGCATTATCGAAAAATCTGCGTAGGAAATTTCGAGGTTGAGAGGCTCGGTGATGTCAGGCCAGGTCAGGGGTTCGGGGTCGGCTGCGGGGTGCTTTCGGCGGAGTTCCTCCAGAATCTGTGGGCTGGGCGTAGAGACTGGTGTTGACTCGAGCGCCAACACGGCCTGGCCCAGACTCCCTTTCTTTGCCAGGCCCTCCACTCTGGTGATGGTCCCCACGTCGTCAGGCTGGTGACGTGGTGGGGGTGGTGCGTTGACAGCTTCAACCGCGTCCAAGTACAGGTGCTGCCACTCGCCGCGTTGAAAAGCACGGAGCCGTGCCTTGATTTTGGGCCAATCAGGTCGTTTCGGTGAACCCTGTCGTAGTGTTAAGCGCGGGAGAAATAAGAGTAACTTCCACCCCGCGACGGAGTCTGGGTTTCGCGAGAGGTGGAGGAGTGGTGTCAGCATTGCGAGTGACAAAATCTCGCACAAGTTTGGCGGTAGCCGTCGTAACAAAGTGGGTTGGCGATTATCGCGGAGTGGCGAAATGTCCCACCCCGCCACCTCGGCGAATTTTTCAGTCTGCCTGGCCTGCTCCTCTGGCGAAAAATAGCGCGGATTTTGGGGCTGGCAAGCCGCATTTGCCCGACCCCTGGCGGTTCGATTTGTGCACCCGCGGCTCAAGGTACGTGTTGGGGGCGGGGTTGGAATGGTGGCCGTCGGATCCACATCCTGTGGTCCCTGGGCGCCTCCTCGTTGCACCTCCGATCCTCTCTGGTTCCCTCCACTTCGTCCCGTTGTTTGTTCTCTCTCATCCTCCTCGTCCTCATCCTCGCTCGGCTCTTGTGCTTCTTCCCTATAAGAGGGGTCGTTTTTCTCCTCCAGATCATTATCCTCGTCGCATCGTATTAAAGCCTTCCGCGCTGCAGCCCGGAAAGCGTTCTCCGGTCCGCCTTCGATACGCCGCCCTTCCCGGCGTTCTGCTCCTCGTCTCCTCCCGCCTCGCGATGGTGATTGCTGGCGACTCGTGGCCATTGCCAAAGCCCGCTGCCGCTGCGTCAACGGTAAGCGGAAAGTCACCGCCGGCGTCTGCCTCGGGGAGTGCAGCAATGAAGCCGCCAGTCCCCCCTGCCCCGAAGCTTGTTCCCTCTGTCGCTGGTGTCTCTGCGAGTCCGACTCCGGCCCTTGCGTCGAGCAACTCTACGGCATCCCCACTACTTGCTCCACCTGCCCCTGTTGCCGAGCCGGGTCTTCCTGCTCCTGTCGTGAATCCTGCGAGCCCCGTACCTGGTCCGCCGGCTGTCCCTGAGGCGACTGGTGTTGATCCACCTGTTCCCGTCCCTGCCGCACCTGATGCACCGCCTGCTGCTGTCCCTGCCGTATCGGCGCCTGCCGCTGCTTTATCACCGCAGGCGGTGTCCGCCACCACTGGCGTCCCGGCTCCCTTGGTCGTGCCCCTGGCGCCTGGTGTGATGCCGACGGCCCCGGCGGGTCAACCATCGCGCACCCCCTCGCCTGACCGCCGCCTGTCTCGCCCCCATTCACCTGCGCTCCACAAGGAGCGTGAGTCGTCACGGTGCCGGCGTGATTCTTCTCGGCGCTACCACCAGCAGTCTCAGTGGCCTGCTCACCATGGTGGCCATGGGGGCTGGAGGGGTCCCCGCAAGCGTGGTGGTGGCGGGGCATACCGCCCGCCTGTGACCATGGCGGATCTTCAGCGGGAGGTGTCGAGGGCAGTGCGCGAGGAGAGGGCGGCGCAGAGCCAGAGTAGTTCGCTGCGGGCCGCGCCGGCGAATGTGGCTCCTCGTCCTGCTGTCCCTACCGTGGACCTTCCGCCTGCATCTGCACGTCCTTCACCTGTCCTTGCCCTGTCTGCTCCTGCTCCTGCTGCCTCGGCTGCTGATTCTGGGTCTCGTCTTCGCCTGCCGCCCGTTCCGCCGGTGGCGGGTGTCGAGTTCGTTCCTGCTGGTGGAGGGGCGGCAGGGGCGCAGTACACTCCTTTTCCTGCTGCCGATGAGCCGCTTCAATTCTTGGCGGTGGCACTTCAACCCCCGCAGACCCGTGTTCCTGAGGCGACGCTCAGCCAGCTGCACCGTCTTGCGGAGAGCCTTCACGCGCTGCTGCTGATTCAGGTGCTGGCTCACTCGTCCCTCCCTGCGATTCCTGCTGACTCGTTTCATGACCGGCCGCGCGAGACTTGCCTGGACGCGGCGGACCAGCTCACGCAGCTGCTGGCGTCCGCGTTGGCTGCACCCGCAGAGGGTGGTGCTGCGGCTGTGGGACAGCTTGACGAGGCTGTCCGGGGTTTGAGGCGACACTTGCGCGCAGGATCTGGAGCCGCGGCGATCGGCGCAAGTACGCTGGTGGTCCGTGAGCTGTGGCGGACGTTGACGAGCATTCTCCATGCCCTCGGAGCTCACCGGATGTAGATACGGGCTCCGCTTGCCCCGTTGTTGCCATTGATGCTTAGGCTGGTGTTGAGGCTGCCATTGCTTGTATGCCGCTGCCTATAGTCAATCGTATGTGTGTTCCCTTGCCGTCCCCTCACGCGCGGCCGAAGGCCGCGTTGTCGAGCGCCGGCCGCCTTCAGCGAAAGTTTCTGCACCAACTGAACAATGAGAAGAAGGGGCTCAGAGAGGCCTCTTATATCCCTCACAGAGGAGATGGCAGAGGGCTAAAGGGAGAGGGCAGAGGCTAGGGTCCTCTCTCTCTCTCTCTCTCTCGCTCTCTCTCGAACGAGCGAAAGTTTCTGCACCAACTGAACAATGAGATGAAGGGGCTCAGAGAGGCCTCTTATATCCCTCACAAAGGAGAGGGCAGAAGGCTAAAGGGAGAGGGCAGAGGCTAGGGTCCTCTCTCTCTCTCTCTCTCTCTCTCTCTCTCTCTCTCAAGTTGCCCTTCATTGATAGTAAGCAAGGTACAGGCCAGGCATATAAGAAGTAGTCATCCTAGCATGTATAGTAGCGAACAAGCCAACCAGCCGGCAAACAAGCAAACAAGCATATAAGCAACGACCTATCTCCATCCTGCTAATTGGCTCGGCTAGCCAGGACCTGCCACGTGCCTGTCACCCAAGCACCGCTGCCTGGGGTCCCCTTTGCCCGGGCCCCTCACACATCTAGGCCCGGCCCCCAGTCCAGATCGTCCTCCAGGACCTGCGAGAGGTCTGCTGGCGCCTCCGGGAAGGCCCCTTCCGTGGCCCTATTCGACTTGGCCAGCATGGTATTGGCCTGGCTGCGCTGTAGCATTACCAACCAGCGCTGCCGATAATGTGCAGTGAGCTTAGAGACAACTGTGGTGAGCCTCCCCTGTCTGTACCTTTTCTTGGCCGCCTGTGTCCCGAGCATGCGTAAGAACCTCTGGGTGTCCCTGGCCAGGGCCCTATAGGTCTCCACCGCCAGGCCAAGCACGCCAACAAACTCCGGCCGTCCCTCGTACATGCCCCTTTCCCCCTTGCTGCGTCCTCTGCCGCCCAGCCCGGCGGCTTGACTGCCCTCGTGTCTCGACGCTGCAGCACCGGGCCAGTCACCGTGACGTCGGACAAATAGGTTTCCGCTGACTCCTTGTCTTTGATGACCAGGTCCGCTCGCTTGGGGTTAACAATTTGCGAGAAGGCTGTGGTCTCATGGGCGGTCAAATAGTCAGCTTCGTTGGCCATCCGCAGCACCGCATACACCAGGCTGTTGTGTGTGTTTGTCCTATCCTTCCCTTCCGCACATCTCAGCAGGTGGTTGGGGAGGCTTCTGTCGCCTATCTTGGACCGACGCTTTCCGCACGGGCAGTTGTCCGTCACTGCTAAGGTGAGGCCGAGCCGAACGCCCTAAGCCATTGCGAACTGGCCTGGTGAGAACGTAAGGTCCGCCCGTGTGGGGATGGCATGGAGCCAGTCCCCCGCTCCCACTCCCTGCAGGCTGATCAGGCGGACGATGTGGCCATTGTCTTCACCTGGCTTGTCCACCCGCGTGTCCCCTACCAGTTCCGCTGCCTTGTCCATGTTCACCAGCCCGGAGAGGTGTTCTTGCATTCGTCCTTTCCCCTCCCCGCCCCTGTCCGCCGCCCGCAGCAGCTCCCTTGCCGCTTCTGGGGAGTCTGTTCTGTAGGTCTCTGATTGATGTCCCGCCCTCACCCGTGGCTCCGTCCCCGTGTGGTGACACCAGTGCCGCCATGCGTTGCAGGGGGTGGCTGGGAGTTGCTGATACGTGCTGCATGAGAGTCCGCGCCGCCTGCAGTGAGGCCAGGTATGCTGCAGGTGCCTCTGAGAGTGGGTCAATGATTCCCAAACCCCCGAGCGCAATCGGCAGTGTCGCCTGCCTCCACAGCAATAGTACCTTGAACGTCGCGCAGCGTATCGTGCAGACCGTCGATCGGATTAAGCTGAGAATTTGCTATATCGAAGCTCTCTCCAAGAGCTTTAAAATGAACCAAGTTGCCTCGCGAAAAGTTATGGCTCAGAAAGCGTTTGCCTAGCGTTGGAGTGCTAGCGTACTAGCGCTGACTCGGGTAGCATTCCGCCGTCGCACCACGTAGAAACGAAATTCCAGGAAGGAAGGAATTCGCTTGAATCAAATTGACTATATTCATGTACAAACAGAGAAGGAATAAATAGCTCTAGCTAGCAAGGACCTTGAGAATAAACCTGGGAACAACCAGGGATGATCCCAAATAATTCCAAGCAACAGAACCAACCTGGCTGGACAAAACAGCAGGTGGTAGGTTGGTAAACAACCTCTGGTTCTGTTTTTCCAACCTGGGAAAACAACAACCAGGTTCAGGTTCAAAAAACAGAACCTGTTTTGTCTTTGCCCAACCAGCCAAATGCTGGTTCCGCTGGTTTCCCCTGGCCCTGTAGCATGCAGATACAGACAAACAACATCCAACCTTCACCTAAATTGTACCCCTATAGTGCCTGCCCTGCTACACTATAGTCAACCAAGCAAAACAGTACAATTTCGAGTTGGATAGAACCGAATCTGCGCAATCAATTCAGTTGAACCGCAAAGCTTCCATCTTGGGTTCCTTTGCGAGCTCGTCCTGTCTGCTTGTACTGTTCATAGCGCGTACAATGTTGTGCCGAAGCGCACAATGCGCGAGTACCTGCAAATGCTTCAAGCGAAAATTGCGAAAGCAAACAAACACACGAACATTCCATTCACACCCAAATGCATTCGCACACGCATACTCGTACAAACAGACGGCAGGATGTCGTGCAATGTGAATTTGCACCCAACACACTCCCCCTCAGCCTGCCGGCTGCATCCCCATCATTCCATACTAGTTCATGCTCATTCCACTCATGCGCACACAACGCCAATGAGGCTCATCCGCAAGCCTCTTGGTGAGGAAGTCTGCTGGCTGCTGGTGAGTCTTGATGTAGATCGGATTCACCGTCCCCCTCTTCACCTCGTTACGCAGCCAGTGCCACTTGATACGCATGTGCTTGTTGAGCCCATGAAGCACAGCGTTCCTGGCCATCCCAAAAGCTCCCTTGCTATCACAAAACAGCGGCGTAGCAACCTTTTGCTCCTGGCCAATCTCCTCTAACAGCCTCCTCAACCAAATGACCTCCTTCACCCCATGGAACATCGCCATGTACTCTGATTCCACGGAAGAGAGTGCCGTCTCCGTCTGCTTCTTTGACCTCCAGCTAACAGGTCCTCCCCCAACTACGCAGATGTATCCTCCCACAGATGAGGAATCCTCCTTCTCAGAGGCCCACGTAGCATCGGTAAAGCAAGTGAGAAAGAGCTTGCCTTCTCCAAGCCTCTCCCCCTTCTCTTTCAGCACCTCAACCCCTTTCTGCTTCACCTGTGCAGATGCGGAGTATTGAATTCCAATGTTTGGGTGAGAGTTCAGATACTTCACCACACGCTCAGCTGCATCCACCTGCTCCTCTGATGGATTCTGCACGACCCTAGCCAGCTGCCCAACCGAGAAAGAGATGTCGGGCCTTGTGTGAACTGCTGCATACAAGAGGCTGCCCACCAAGGACTGAAATTGCTGCTGCTCCTCGGCTTCAACCCCTTCATCCTCTGCAGCTTTCACAAGCTTGAATTCTGCTGGCAGGGGAGTTGCAACTTTGCGCTCATTCTCAATCCCGTATTTCTCCCCCAGCTTCTTGATGAACTTCTCCTGGTGCAGCTTCAACCACCTGTGATCCAGATCCCTCTCCACGTGCATCCCGAGGTAGTATTTTACCTCCCCAAGGTTCTTGCACTTGAAGTTCTCCATCAGCTGCTGTTGCACATTCTGGATCTCCTTCATGCTGCTGCTAAAGAGAAGAATGTCGTCCACATAGACCAGAAACAGCACCAGCTTCTCCCCCTCCCCCTTGAGAAAGAGGCTCTCATCACAGCTGCTGGTCCTGAATCCCATCTCCTCTAAAACAGCTGCCAACTTCTGATACCAGCAGCGTGGCACCTGCTTCAAGCCGTAGATGGACTTTTTCAGCTTGCACACCCTGCCCGTACCATCCTCATACCCAGGCGGCTGCGTCATGTACACATCCTCCTCTAAAATCCCATTGAGGAATGCCGTTGATATATCCATCTGAATGATGAATTTCCCACTAACGGCTGAATCTGCCAACAAGACACGGAGGGTAGGGGGTTTGGCAGTGGGAGCAAAGATCTCATTGAAGTCCTGCTTCTCCTTCTGCATAAACCCCTTAGCCACCAGCCTACTCTTGTAGATGGTGACCTGTCCCTTGTCTTCGGTCTTGATCCTTAGCACCCACTTGCACTGTACGGCTTTCTTCCCCTCAGGCAGCACCACCAGCTCCCATGTCCCATTCTCTAGCAGGCTCTGGTACTCAGCATCCCTGGAAACCAGCCACTTCTCCCTATCTGGTCCAGCTAATGGCTCCTCCATGCTAGCTGGTTCCTCTGGTGCAGGGGCAAGAAAACAGTAGGCAGGTTCATCCTCCTCATCCGGATCATAGCCATGCGATAGAATCAGCAATGCCTCCTCTGTCCCAAGCTGCTGCTCTGCTACATCAGCTCCTGCTGTCAGCTTCTTAATAGCCATACGGGTACGTCCTGGCCTGGAGACGGGTGTCTCCCATCCCCTCATAACAACACCCTTCAGCTTCTTAGTTTTCCCCTGCTGCTGCTCTCCTCCCTCGGATCCAGCAGCTTCACTAGTGCTACCGCTAGTCTCCACACCACCTCCATCAGCAGGTGCCTCCTGCACCTTCTCTCCATCACCACCCTCTGCAGCTGCCTCCTCTCCCTCCTCCCACACACTAGGAGTCAGGTCCAGCTGCATGGTGATCTGCTCCATCTGCTGGGACACCCTGGCCTCTGGCTGTTTCTCCCAGCTCCCATACATCATGCCCTCAACAAACTTCACATCCCTGCTGTCAAACAACACACCCTTGGAAGGTTCCCACAGCAGCCATCCCTTGCTCTCAGCAGCCAGCCCCAAATGCACACACCAGATTGCACTTGCCCCCAACTTACTTCGATACTTCTTGGGGACGTGGGCGACTGCCATGCAACCAAACACCCTCAGCATGTCCACCGGCGGCTTCCTCCCAAGCCACCTCTCCAACGGCACCCACGAGTCATCCCCAACCTTTGTGAGTACCCTGTTCCTAGCGACGGTAGCGTGCCGAACAGCATGGGGCCACATCAAGTTGCCCAGCCCAGATTCTATGAGCAGCGCCCTAGCTGTCTCCAGAATTGTCCGGTTCGCCCGTTCTGCTACACCGTTAGACTGTGGGGTGTAAGCCGTGGTCAGCTCCCTCTGGATGCCCTGCTTCTTGAGCCAGGCCGTCATCTCAGCTCCAAGGAACTCACCACCCCGATCTGTCCTAATCCGCTTCACCACACACTCCGCTTGCTTCTCCACGAATGGCAGCCAATCTTCCCGTATCATAGAGGCGGCATGGTCCTTCTGCTTCAGCGGATATGCCCACATAAGCCTGCTCCAATCATCCACTATGGTCAGAAAGTACCGCTCCCCCTTGTGCCCCTGAACCGGCAGCAGCCCCACCGAGTCCATGTGGACCAACTCTAAAGGCTTCTTGCTCCTGCCAGTCACACTATGGAAGGGGAAACGGGTAAACTTTGAGAGCAAACAGATTTCACAATTCTCATCAGGTGGCTGTCCGTTCAGCTTCAGACCCTTAACGGCTCCATCTTTCTCCAACTGCTTCAGCAATGGCATTGCCACATGCCCCAAGCGTCGGTGTGCCGTTGCCCAATCCGTCTCCCCAGATCTGGCCGACACTTTCACACCAACCCCTCCAACGGCGTTGCACTCCCCCTGGGATGCAGACCCCTCTCCAGCCTGCCCCCCACCATGCCACGCGAACGCCGGCAGCTGCCACATGGATCTGTACACGTCCGTGCTCTCGTGCAGATCCCAAAGCACCCGATTGCCCAGCTGCCCCTTGTAAGTGCGTGCCCCATCCGTGCTGGTGCTCACCCGAGCCTTGCCAAGCTTACGGAGGGAGATGAGGTTGGCCTTGAGTTCAGGAACGAGGAGAACGTCGTGCAGCACCACCGGCTTGCCATCCGCTCCCTTAAACGCAGCTCGTCCCGCACCAGCCACCTTCAGCGCGTGTCCAGAGGCGGAGCACACCTCGTTGATCGGTGCAGCGCGTACGTGGTCCAGTAGGTCCTTGCGCGGCGTCATCGTCCAAGCAGCGCCCGTGTCCAACACCCAATAGTCCAGGGAGGAAGCTCTGCTCCAACCTTGGCAGAGGCGTCTCCTTGCTCCCCCTGCTCTCCAATATGGAAGAACTGGCCCGCGGTGCGCTCCTTCTTCTTTTCCGCACTGCCATTGCTCTTCGGGTTGTTGTCGGACGAATCGGCGACCATGCTCGCGCCGTTTTTCTGGTTCCTCCGCGCGCCGCCATCCTGGTGACGATTCTGGGGGGTCCATCCATCGGGTTTCTTATAGCACAAAAACCAGGGGTGCCCCTCCTTCTCACAATACCAGCAACTCCCTTTCATTTTGCCACCAGCACCCGACTTGCCCCCACGTCCAGATTTCGCACCGCGACCCCAACCGGTACCTCCTTGTTGGTTGTTGGAGTCGTCATCCTTCTTTGCACCGCGTCCAGCACCACCGAAGCCACGTCCTTTGCCACGTCGGCTCCTTTGCATCCCGTAGCCGCTGCTGCCGTCGTCTCCACCCCTCAGTTGGCGGCGACGGAAGTCCTCCTCCAGAATCTTTGTCCGCACCCACTCGAGTGTCCACGAGCTCTGGTTCTGCGGCAGGCTCAATCCGCTCGTGAATTGAAGCCACGATTCCGGCAGCAGCGAGAGCATCTTCAAACACTTGGTCTGCTCCGGGTAGGTGATTCCCGCGGTAGCCAACTTCGCGTACAGGTCGCGCATCTTGTCCAGGACAGGTTGCAACGGCTCTCCCTCGCTCAGGCGCAACGCGGACAGCTCCCTCTCCAGCATCAACGTTGCAACAACGGAGGTCGGGGCGTGCAGCTCCTTTAATACGGTCCACGCCTTCAGACCGCACTCAACCTCCGGCAGCAGATGCATGACGTGGTGACGCTGGTTCAGCTCCAAACTCTGCGACATCAAATAGTAGCCAGCCGAGAAGCGCTCGTCCCAATCTTCTTGCAGCGCGGGGTCACTCGGTCTAGGCTCCTCCCCAATCATTAGTTTCAGCAAACCGATCTGACGGAAATACAATTGCATTTTCCAGGCCCAATCATCATAGCCCTCACCATTGAACTTCTCGACGGTGAAGTTTTTCAGCACCTCCTTGACCAGCGAGCCCTGGTTTGTTTGCGCTCCCCTTGGCGCTGAAACACCAGAATCTTGGCTGCCGCTACGATCTTGGGCTGAAGATTCACCAGCTCCCGTCGAGATGTTGCCCGCCATAGCTACCTATAACGAGGATCACTATAACACAGCTCTGATACCAGCTTGTTGGTGTAAGGGCCTAATAAAGTCAAGCTATTAAGACTTAATCAAACTTAAAACCTCTCCTCGGGGTCACCTCCACGGGTCCTTGGGTGCCTGGTACAAGACCAGCCCCTATCCTCGGGTCCGAGTTTGTAGAGAGAGGGATCAAGAGGGACTTAGTAAAAACAGCAATAGTATCTTGAACGTCGCGCAGCGTATCGTGCAGACCGTCGATCGGATTAAGCTGAGAATTTGCTATATCGAAGCTCTCTCCAAGAGCTTTAAAATGAAACAAGTTGCCTCGCGAAAAGTTCTGCCATTACGAAGTTATGGCTCGGACAGCGTTTGCCTAGTGTTGGAGTGCTAGCGTACTAGCGTTGACTCGGGTAGCATTCCGCCGTCGCACCACGTAGAAACGAAATTCCAGAAAGGAAGGAATTCGCTTGAATCAAATTGACTATATTCAGGTACAAACAGAGAAGGAATAAATAGCTCTAGCTAGCAAGGACCTTGGGAATAAACCTGGGAACAACCAGGGATGATCCCAAATAATTCCAAGCAAAAGAACCAACCTGGCTGGGCAAAACAGCAGGTGGTAGGTTGGTAAACAACCTCTGGTTCTGTTTTTCCAACCTGGGAAAACAACAACCAGGTTCAGGTCCTAAAAACAGAACCTGTTTTGTCTTTGCCCAACCAGCCAAATGCTGGTTCCGCTGGTTTCCCCTGGCCCTGTAGCATGCAGATACAGACAAACAACATCCAACCTTCACCTAAATTGTACCCCTATAGTGCCTGCCCTGCTACACTATAGTCAACCAAACAAAACAGTACAATTTCGAGTTGGATAGAACTGAATCTGCGCAATCAATTCAACCGAACCGCAAAGCTTTCATCTTGGGTTCCTTTGCGAGCTCGTCTTTTCTGCTTGACCTGTTCATAGCGCGTACAATGTTGTGCCGAAGCGCACAATGCGCGAGTACCTGCAAATGCTTCAAGCGAAAATTGCGAAAGCAAACAAACACACGAACATTCCATTCACACCCAAATACATTCGCACACGCATACTCGTACAGACAGACGGCAGGATGTCATGCAATGTGAATTTGCACCCAACATGCAGTAGTGCCAATCGGACTCCCTAGCACCCGCACTCGGTCCACTGCCATCGCCAGTCCATCCGGGAGTTGGCATGTGAGTCCCGATGGGCTCCAGGCGGAAGATTTGGCCAGGTTGCACCGTAGGCCGCAAGCTTCCAATTCGTCCCGTATCTTATTTAGCGCCCTTTTTGCCCTCGCTGGCTCGCCCACGATTGTGATGTCGTCCGCGTATGCCATCACGGTCACTGTTGGATCTGCCTCCGCCGCAGCTAGGAGCGCCGGTTGGATGGCCGCCGCGAAAAGCATTGGTCCGAGCGGGTCTCCCTGTTGCACTCCCCGCGCACTGTTGATGTGGGGCGTGTCGAACCCGCTATCCAGCAGGAGTTTCGATGGTGCGCCGTAGAGCGTGCGGGCTAGTGACATGAGTGACGCCAAGCCGGTCCATTGTAGCATCGATAGGAAACTTCCGCGCTCCACCGAATTGAATGCGTTTTCAATATCTAACTGTAGGATCACCCTCGTGGGGTCCTCCGCCACTAGCGCCCATGTTAACTGAATGATGCACTCCGCTCCTCCAGGTACGGCCACTCCAAATTGCACGGGTAGGAAATACTCCCGATCCTCCCGTCCCCATCTGCTTCCACGTCGTCTACCCCCGCCCTCATTTGTGGGGATCCCATCCTCTGCCTCGACAGATTCGTCTTCTGACTCTTCTTGTTCCTCCATATATTCTGACCCCTCCTCCTGTGCAGGTTCATTCATTGGTCCCTCCCCAATATCCTCTGGCCTCCCGTGCCGTTCCCGCCAGTTTCCATATATGGCCTTCTCCCTTGCAACCGCTCTCACCAGCTCGCCCACGCGCCCGCCTCTGCCTCGGCCTCGTCCGCGACCTCTGGTGGCCGCCCTCGCCGCCGCGTTTCGCGGCTGTTGGCCCGCGGTTAGGTCATCTGCTCGTTCATGAAGCACTCTCTGCCGGATTGTTCCTGCCCGCCTTCTCGTTCCATGGCGCTTGCCGCCAACACCACTTCCCCCTCCTGAGCCTCGTCGTCTGCCTGATATACCGCCCGTCGCTCCACCTCCCCCTCCTCCCGAGCCTCGTGGCGCTGCTGTGATGACAGGAAAACTTCCGCGGCGGGATCCGCGGCAGTGTAGTCTGCTGTTCCCAGCCCGCCAGAGGCCCGGGACGAGCTGGCGCCAGTCCTACTCTGAGCCGCCGCTGCCCTGGTCGCGCGCGAGGGGGCCGGGACACCCTCTCGTCCGCGTGAGCCAGTGTATCGCTTGCCCCGCGGACTTACCCACCCTCATCTTCGGGCCCGTGGTGGTTCCTTCTGTCGTCGCAGACCGCCTCGGCCCCCGCCTGCCCTGCAGCGATAGATTGTCGGTCCGCATCTCCAGGAGCCCTCTCCGCTGGTACCGCACCCGCCTCCTCAGCCTCCTCCGCCGTCGTCTCAGCAGTCATCCCAGCAGCAGTCGTCCGGTCCAGCGTCCTCGTCCCCTGTGGTGGCCTCCCCTGCGTTGACGTCGGCGCCGATAACGGCATCGGGCTCTTACCCCCCTCCCCTTCCGGTGCCTCCGCAGCCGGTGTCGCCCGCTGGTGCACATCTCGTGCCCCCCCTTCCCGATCAGACGCGTGTCGCTGCTGATATTCTGTCTGAGCATCCTCAGCGGCAACATCCCCTCGTTTTTCTCGACCCCGCACCCGTCGTACGTTTCCCTCCGTGTGAAGCCGTATATCCGCCCAATTAGGGGGTCTGTGATGCCCAGGCCTCCTAACGATGGCGGCAGCGACGCTTGTTCCCAAACCCGCGTTTGTTCGGTTCGACAAGTCGGTGTTGGGTGCAAATTCACATTGCACGACATCCTGCCATCTGTTTGTACGAGTATGCGTGTGCGAATGCATTTGGGTGTGAGTGGAATGTTCGTGTGTTTGTTTGCTTTCGCAATTTTCGCTTGAAGCATTTGCAGGTACTCGCGCATTGTGCGCTTCAGCACAACATTGTACGCGCTATGAACAGTACAAGCTGAAAGGACGAGCTCGCAAAGGAACCCAAGATGGAAGCTTTGCGGTTCGGTTGAATTGATTGTGCAGATTCAGTTCTATCCAACTTGAAATTGTACTGTTTTGTTTGGTTGACTATAGTGTAGCAGGGCAGGCACTATAGGGGTACAATTTAGGTGAAGGTTGGATGTTGTTTGTCTGTATCTGCATGCTACAGGGCCAGGGGAAACCAGCGGAACCAGCATTTGGCTGGTTGGGCAAAGACAAAACAGGTTCTGTTTTTAGGACCTGAACCTGGTTGTTGTTTTCCCAGGTTGGAAAAACAGAACCAGAGGTTGTTTACCAACCTACCACCTGCTGTTTTGTCCAGCCAGGTTGGTTCTGTTGCTTGGAATTATTTGGGATCACCCCTGGTTGTTCCCAGGTTGATTCCCAAGGTCCTTGCTAGCTAGAGCTATTTATTCCTTCTCTGTTTGTACCTGAATATAGTCAATTTGATTCAAGCGAATTCCTTCCTTCCTGGAATTTCGTTTCTACGCGGTGCGACGGAGGAATGCTACCCGAGTCAACGCTAGTACGCTGGCACTTCGACACTAGGCAAACGCTGTCCGAGCCATAACTTCGTAATGGCAGAACTTTTCGCGAGGCAACTTAGTTCATTTTAAAGCTCTTGGAGCGAGCTTCGATATAGGAAATTCTCAGCTTAATCCGATCGACGGTCTGCACGATACGCTGCGCGACGTTCAAGGTACTGTTGCTGTTTTGACTAAGTCCCTCTTGATCCCTCTCTCTACAAACTCGGACCCGAGGATAGGGGCTGGTCTTGTACCAGGCACCCAAGGACCCTTGGAGGTGACCCCGAGGAGAGGTTTTAAGAGTGATAAAGTCTTAACAGCTTGAGTTTATTAGGCCCTTACACTAAAAAGCTGGTATCAGAGCTGCGTTATAGTGATCCTCGATATAGGAAGCTGTGGCGGGCAACACCTCGACGGGAGCTGGTGAATCTTCAGCCCAAAATCGTAGCGGCAGCCAAGATTCTGGTGTTTCAGCGCCAACGGGAGCACGAACAAACCAGGGCTCGCTGGTCAAGGAGGTGCTGAAGAACTTCACCGTCGAGAAGTTCAATTGTGAGGGCTTTGATGATTGGGCCTGGAAAATGCAACTTTATTTCCGTCAGATTGGATTGCTGAAACTAATGATTGGGGAGGAGCCTAGACCGAGTGACCCCACGCTGCAGGAAGATTGGGACGAGCGCTCCTCGGCTGGCTACTATTTAATGTCGCAGAGTTTGGAGCTGAACCAGCGTCACCACGTCATGCACCTGCTGCCGGAGGTTGAGTGCGGTCCGAAGGCGTGGACCGTGTTAAAGGAGCTGCACGCCCCGACCTTCGTTGTTGCAATGTTGATGCTGGAGGAGGAGCTGTCTGCGTTGCGCCTGAGCGAGGGAGAGCCGGTACAACCTATCCTGGACAAGATGCGCGACCTCTACGCGAAGTTGGCGACCGCGGGAATCACCTACCCGGAGCAGACCAAGTGTTTGAAGATGCTCTCGCTGCTGCCGGAATCGTGGCTTCAATTCACGAGCGGATTGAGCCTGCCGCAGAACCAGAGCTCGTGGACACTCGAGTGGGTGCGGACAAAGATTCTGGAGGAGGACTTCCGTCGCCGCCAACTGAAGGGTGGAGACGACGGCAGCAGCGGCTACGGGATGCAAGGGAGCCGACGTGGCAGAGGACGTGGCTTCGGTGGTGCTGGACGCGGCGCAAAGAAGGACGACGACTCCAACGACCAACAAGGAGGTACCGGTTGGGGTCGCGGTGCGAAATCTGGACGTGGGGGCAAGTCGGGTGCTGGTGGCAAAATGAAAGGGAGTTGCTGGTATTGTGAGAAGGAGGGGCACCCCTGGTTTTTGTGCTATAAGAAACCCGATGGATGGACCCCCCAGAATCGTCACCAGGATGGCGGCGCGCGGAGGAACCAGAAAAACGGTGCGAACACGGTGGCCGATTCGTTCGACAACAACCCGAAGAGCAACGGCGGTGCGGAAAAGAAGGAGCGCACCGCGGGCCAGTTCTTCCATATTGGAGAACAGGGGGAGCAAGGAGACACATCTGCCAAGGTTGGAGCAGAGCTGCACCCCCTGGACTATTGGGTGTTGGACACGGGCGCTGCTTGGACGATGACGCCGCGCAAGGACCTGCTGGACCACGTACGCGCTGCACCGATCAACGAGGTGTGCTCCGCCTCTGGACACGCGCTGAAGGTGGCTGGTGCGGGACGAGCTGCGTTTAAGGGAGCGGATGGCAAGCCGGTGGTGCTGCACGACGTTCTCCTCGTTCCTGAACTCAAGGCCAACCTCATCTCCCTCCGTAAGCTTGGCAAGGCTGGGGTGAGCACTAGCACGGATGGGGCACGCACTTACAAGGGGCAGCTGGGCAATCGGGTGCTTTGGGATCTGCACGAGAGCACGGACGTGTACAGATCTATGTGGCAGCTGCCGGCGTTGGCGTGGCATGGTGGGGGGCAGGCTGGAGAGGGGTCTGCATCGCAGGGGGAGTGCAACGCCGTTGGAGGGGTTGGTGTGAAAGTGTCGGCCAGATCTGGGGAGACGGATTGGGCAACGGCACACCGACGCTTGGGGCATGTGGCAATGCCCTTGTTGAAGCAGTTGGAGAAAGATGGAGCCGTTAAGGGTCTGAAACTGAACGGACAGCCACCTGATGAGAATTGTGAAATCTGTTTGCTCTCAAAGTTTACCCGTTTCCCCTTCCATAGCGTGACTGGCAGGAGCAAGAAGCCTTTAGAGTTGGTCCACATGGACTTGGTGGGGCCGCTGCCGGTTCAGGGGCACAAGGGGGAGCGGTACTTTCTGACCATAGTGGATGATTGGAGCAGGCTTATGTGGGCATATCCGCTGAAGCAGAAGGACCATGCCGCCTCTACGATACGGGAAGATTGGCTGCCATTCGTGGAGAAGCAAGCGGAGTGTGTGGTGAAGCGGATTAAGCGAAAAGTTCTGCCATTACGAAGTTATGGCTCGGACAGCGTTTGCCTAGTGTTGAAGTGCTAGCGTACTAGCGTTGACTCGGGTAGCATTCCGCCGTCGCACCGCGTAGAAACGGAATTCCAGGAAGGAAGGAATTCGCTTGAATCAAATTGACTATATCCAGGTACAAACAGAGAAGGAATAAATAGTTCTAGCTAGCAAGGACCTTGGGAATAAACCTGGGAACAACCAGGGATGATCCCAAATAATTACAAGCAACAGAACCAACCTGGCTGGACAAAACAGCAGGTGGTAGGTTGGTAAACAACCTCTGGTTCTCTTTTTCCAACCTGGGAAAACAACAACCAGGTTCAGGTCCTAAAAACAGAACCTGTTTTGTCTTTGCCCAACCAGCCAAATGCTGGTTCCGCTGGTTTCCCCTGGCCCTGTAGCATGCAGATACAGACAAACAACATCCAACCTTCACCTAAATTGTACCCCTATAGTGCCTGCCCTGCTACACTATAGTCAACCAAACAAAACAGTACAATTTCGAGTTGGATAGAACTGAATCTGCGCAATCAAGTAAGTTGAACCGCAAAGCTTCCATCTTGGGTTCCTTTGCGAGCTCGTCCTTTCAGCTTGTACTGTTCATAGCGCGTACAATGTTGTGCCGAAGCGCACAATGCGCGAGTACCTGCAAATGCTTCAAGCGAAAATTGCGAAAGCAAACAAACACACGAACATTCCACTCACACCCAAATGCATTCGCACACGCATACTCGTACAAACAGATGGCAGGATGTCGTGCAATGTGAATTTGCACCCAACACCTGAGGTGACCTCCGTTGTTGCAACATTTCGTTTCTACGCGGTGCGACGGCGGAATGCTACCCGAATCAACGCTAGTACGCTAGCACTCCAACGCTAGGCAAACGCTGTCCGAGCCATAACTTCGTAATGGCAGAACTTTTCGCGAGGCAACTTGGTTCATTTTAAAGCCTTGGAGCGAGCTTCGATATAGAAAATTCTTAGCTTAATCCGATCGACGGTCTGCGCAATACGCTGCGCGACGTTCAAGGTACTCTTGCTGTTTTGACTAAGTCCCTCTTGATCCCTCTCTCTACAAACTCGGACCCGAGGATAGGGGCTGGTCTTATACCAGGCACCTTAGGACCCTTGGAGGTGACCCCGAGGAGAGGTTTTAAGTTTGATAAAGTTTCAATAGCTTGAGTTTATTAGGCCCTTACACCAACAGTCGGAACGCGGATATCGCACGATGTGAGAAGCGTGGTGAGCGGATCCCTACCGCACTGGCTCCATCTATCTCGGGGGAGGAGGTGGAGAGGTGTCGTCCTGGTGAGGTAGGCAACTCGTCGCGAGATGCATCGCGTGATTAGCAGTGCTGCTACCTGGGGGTCTGCTCGCTCGAGTAGGGGTAGAGGCTTTGACATCTTGGCGAGCTGTCCCGCTAGGAACTGAGCTGCGCCGCTATCAGGCCCCACGAAACTATCCAATAGCCGCACGCCGTCTTTAGAGAACGGCACTCCTGGCGGGAGGCGAGCTGTGTCGATTGTGCTTGAGCTCCAGGCCGCACACTTCTGTGGGTTATGCTCAAGGCCCAGGTGCGCTAACTTGGCCGTGAAATGTATGAATGCAGCTACAGTGCGGGCTGTGTCACCCAAGAAGGTGACGTCGTCCGCATACGCCAAGCAGAGCACGTCAGGGTGTGCTTCGGCTTTTTCACAAAGTGTGGCGTGTATCCCTGCTAGGAACAGTAGCGGCCCAAGTGGGTCTCCTTGGCGGACGCCGCGTTCACTTGTCAGTGGTTCGCTGTTGAAGTTGGAGACCAATAGCAGTTGCGACGGGTTACCGTACGTCAGTTTCACTAGCGGCAGCAGTGGCGAGAGGGCGGGTTCTTGTAACGCGTCGGCAATAGCGTTTCGCGAAATACTGTTGAACGCGTTTGAAATGCCGGCTTGCAGGACCAGGCTGTCCAGACGGGCATCCAAGAAAGCCCTGGCTGCGTGGATTACTGCCTCTGCTCCACCTGGCACTGCCACCCCGTACTGTAGTGGTAGAAAAAATTCGCGGATCGGTTCTCCCATGGCTAACAGGGCAGCCTAGGATGCCAGCCTCGTCAGACATTCGCCGATCGCGATTGGCCTAGCCCCTCCCCCCGGCTTGGCGAGAGCTACGAGTCGCGGCGCCGTCAGCAAGTTTGCAACCGAGCCTGGCAATTTTCCTCCCAGCATGGTGTTAACCAAGGCGCGCAGATGGGTGCTGACCATTGCGTTGGTGATCGCCGCGTCGCGCAGATGCTCGAATGTCATTCCTGACGGTCCGGCTCCGACCCCATTCTCGCATCTTCCCAAAAAATTTGGGAAGTCAGGGTTGGGGATTGACAGCTTTGACCATTGTGGCTCGGGCCACGTCACTGCCTCGTGTGCAGCAGGTGGGTGCTTTTGGCGCAGCTCCTCCATATTTCCGGGCTGGGTGTGCAGACGGGCGTCGACTCCAGGGCTAGCACGGCTCGGCGCAGACTGCCACGTTTCGCTAGGCTCTCTGCACGGCTGATGACTCCAGTCGCATCTGGCTGGTGTCGTGGCGGTGGCGGTGTGTTGACTGCGTTCAACGCGTCCTGGTACAACTGCTCCCATTCACCACGCTGGAAAGCTCGGAGCCGGCCCTTGACACTCGGCCAGTTCGGTCGTTGTGGCGAGGTCTGGCGAAGTGTCAGGCGCGGGAGAAACAGCAGCAGGCGCCATCCCGTTGAAGAAGACGAGTCAAACGACCCATCTTATAGGGAAGAAGCCCTTCCCGAGAGCGAGGACGAGGAGACGGAGGAGGAAGGAAAGGTGAGGGAAGGACCAAGGAGAAAGGAAGCGGTAGTAGGGCAGACAGACTTGCAAGTCCCACAATGCTCAACCACCGTCCGATGCCGATCGGACGAGTGCAAATCCAACCTCGAGCCCTCCGATGAGGTCGAGCCACGCTGGGAGAAATCAAACCGCCAATGCCGGTACCGCGACTCGCTCTTCAGCACCAATTCCCCGCTACTTTTCACCCGACGAATTTTGATGGCGCCTGCTGCTGGATTCAGGGGTGATTCACGTCGGGCGGAAGCAGGTGAAACCCCGCTACTTTTTACCTGACGAGTTTTGATTTCTCCCAGCGCGGCTCGACCTCATCGGAGGACTCGAGGTTGGATTTGAACTCGTCCGATCGGCATCGGACGGTGGTTGAGCATTGTGGGACTTGCAAGTCTGTCTGCCCTACTACCGCTTCCCTTCTCCTTGGTCCTTCCCCCACCTTTCCTTCCTCCTCCGTCTCCTCGTCCTCGCTCTCGGGAAGGGCTTCTTCCCTATGAGATGGGTCGTTTGACTCGTCTTCTTCAACGGGATGGCGCCTGCTGCTGTTTCTCCCGCGCCTGACACTTCGCCAGACCTCGCCACAACGACCGAACTGGCCGAGTGTCAAGGGCCGGCTCCGAGCTTTCCAGCGTGGTGAATGGGAGCAGTTGTACCATCGCTTCGTCGAGCCGTCGGCGTCTGCCCCTGTTGGGGGTGTTGCTGATCCCCCTGCATCTGTCCCTGGCGCCCCTGTTGCACCGCCCGCTTCTGTCCCCGGCGTGCCTGCTCCGGCCTCTGCTTCGTCACCGAAGGCGGCGTCCGCCACCACTGGCGGACCGGCTCCGTCGGTTGCGCCCTTGGCGGCGGGTCAGTCCGCGCCTACTGTGGCGCCGATGGCCCCAGCAGGTCAGCCGTCACGCCCTCCGTCACCCGACCGTCGCCCGTCTCGCCCCCATTCCCCCGCGCCCCACCAGGAGCGCAAGTCGTCTCTTCGCCGGTGTGAATCTCCACGGCGTTACCAGCAACAGTCGCACTGGCCTGCTCACCCCGGTGGTCAGGGGGACTGGAGGGGTCTCCGCGGGCGCGGCGGTGGTGGGGGGTACCGCCCGTCTGTGACGATGGCGTATCTTCAGTGGGAAATGTCGAGGGCGGTACGTGAGGAGAGGGCGGCGCAGAGCCAGAGCAGTTCGATGCGCACCTCGCCAGCACATGAGGCTCCTCGCCAGGCTGTGCTCCCCTTGAGTCCACCTCCTGTCGCTGCACCCCCATCTCAGGTTCACGTCCCGCCGGCTCCTTTTCCTGCTGTTTCGGCACCTGTTCCTGGATCTCGTCTCCATCTGCCGCCGGTTCCGCCTGTTGCGGGGATGGAGTTTGTGGCCGCGGGTGGTGGCGCGGCGGCGGCTCAGTATGCTCTCCAAGTTGCTGCCGATGAGCCGCTTCAGTTCCTGGCTGAGGCACTCCAGCCTCCGCAGACCCATGTTCCCGAGGCGACACTCGGCCAGCTCCACCGCCTCGCGGACAGTCTCCACGCGTTGCTGCTGATTCAGGTGCTTTCTCATTCGTCCTTCGCCGTGATTCCTCCTGAGACTTTCCGTGGCCGCCATCGTGAAACTTGCCTGGACGCGGCAGACCAGCTCGCAGCGCTGGAGAAAGCGTTCTTCACGCCCTTGGAGCTCACCGCATGTAGACGCGGGCTCCGGTTGCCCCAGTGATGTCTTGCTTGTCTAGTTTCTTATAGGAACCGCCATTGCATGTATGTCCTTGCTTAATGTCACTTGTGTGTGTTAGCTCTTGCCGCCCCTCACGCGCGGCCGAAGGCCGCGCCGTCGAGAGTCGGCCGCCGCAGGCGGCCGGCGCAAGCCGCTTGGTTAGGAGAGAAAATGAACACTGAAATGAATAATGAGGCTTAAGGACCTGGTCCTAGGCCTTTATACTAGGCTGGAGAGGGCTGCAGAGGCTAAGGACTAGACCTTTCTCTTACTCTCTCTCCCTCCCTCTCTCTCTCTCTCTCTCTCTCTCTCTCTCTCTCTCTCTCTCTCTCTCTCTCTCTCTCTCTCTTGAACGGTCCTTTGTATTGATAATAAGGGCAGCTACAGACATGCATATTCTAGGGAAGGATTCAAAATAGCACGAAGACAAGCAAGCAAACACACCCCCCCTATTCTCTTCCCCCGCCCCTTTCCCTCTAAGGTGCCTCTAGTGTTGTGAAGCAGCCACCGGGGTTCATCTTCCCTCCTGGTCCCCTAGTGGGGGGTTCTCTGCTCGTGCTGCCAGGTTCAGCTTTGTGAGATAGCTCACTGCTTGTGCTCTCTGGAGGGTGATAGACCAGCGCTGCCGGAACTGATGGAGCATCTTCGCGGCCTGATAGGTAGATGGGTCCGCATTGAAGAATTTCAGTGCAGCTTTATCTGCCAGTTTTTCAGGAAGGTGGGCACCTCGTCGCAGGGGCAGCCGTAGGTTTCTACTGCCAACGGGACAAACCCAGCAAACTCTGCCCTGCCGAGGTATAGGCCTATCTTTTTATCTGCTGCCTCCCGTGCTGCCCAGCCCCTCCCCTTCCTTGCGGTTTCGTCCCGTTTGCTGATGGGATGTGTGATTGTAATATCTGCCAGCCACACTGTCCCCGAGCTCCCATCCCTGAAGGCCAAGTCGGCCTTCTTGTTGTCCACCGGGCTGAAGGCAGTGCACTCTTTGTGCACATCAAATCCTGCATCCTGCGCCATGTGAATGCACTCACCCCGTAGCTCGTCATGAGTGTTGGTCCGGCCGTGCCCAGTACCGCACCGCAGCAAGTGATTTTCGGCAGCCTCTTATCCAGAATGGGGACTCGTTTGCTGCAGTCATAGCAGTCGGGCACAGAGAGCGGCATGCCGAGCCGGAACTGTAGGGCGAACGTGAAGTGGCAGAGGTAAAACCGTAGGGCTGGCATGTAGGGGATCGCCATGAGCCAGTCCCCTGCCCCATAGCCTGTGAGGGACATGAGGCGCTGGGTGTGGCCCAGCAGTGGGTTCAGCTCCATCTGCCTGGATGGAGTGATCTGGGCGGCACTCCGGCCCCCTTGGACTAAGAGAGCGAGGCAGTGCTGCAGTTGGCCTTTGGGTTTTGCCTGCTCCGCTGAGATAAGATCCCTCGCCTCCTGCGTGAGGCTGCTCCTGCGGTCCTGGATCCACTGCTGTAGTTCGTTGGGGCTGTGGTCTGCTGCTTCGGGTCTCTCTCTCTCTAATGGTCCGTTTATTGATATAGCCAAAGGGTACATTCATGCATAGCTTTTGCTAGGATGGTAAGGTAAACAAGCCAACAAATAACAAACAATACACAACCATGTTTCTACACCTCCATAAGAGGCTCCAGCACAGCACAGCAGTCCCCAAGGTGGAGCTCGGACTGCACCCCCCCTACGGGAGGATTTTCAGCTACGGCCGCCTGGGAGGACTTGATTAAGTATCCCACTGACTGTGCTCTTTGCAGAGCCACGGACCAGCGCTGCCTGAAGAGGTGTAGGAACCTCCTTGCGTGATGAGAGGTGGGTTGGGCGTTGACATGACTCCTAGCAGCTGTGTCCGCCAGTAACTTCAGAAATTTTGGGACCTCCGCGCATGGGCAGCCGTATGTCTCAACTGCAAGGGGGAAAAAGCCGACCGAATCAGGCCGGTTTGCGTAGTGGCTGATTTTCTTCGCAGCTTGCTCTCTTGCTGCCCATCCCCTCCCCTTAGTAGCGTTGGGATCACGAGTGCTAATGGGATCTGTAATGGTGACATCACAGGCGTATACTGCCCCCGAGCTCCTATCTCGCATGGTGAAGTCGGCGGTTTGTTCTTCAATAGGGCAGTACGCAGCTGATTCACTGTGAACTATGAAGCCGGCATCTTCCGCCATAGTAATACATGCGTCCCGCAGTTCGTTATGAGTGTTGATTCTGTGCTTGCCTGTCCCGCAGCGGAATAAGTGGTTTGGCAGCCGTGGGTCCTTGATCTCAACATGCTTAGAGGAGTCACAGTATTTGGGAGTAGAGAAGGGAAGCCCAATTTTGAAGCGGACAGCATTGGCAAAGTGTTCTGGACCTACGCAGCGGGTATGCTCTATTGGGATTGCCGTGAGCCAGTCCCCCGTGCCCTAGCCAGTTAGAGAGAAAAACCGTTGGGTATGGCCTGACAGGGGATTCAGCCTCATGAGCCACACTGCCTGTACTTGCGCGGCATATCTGCCCCCTGCACTCTCACCCTGTGCTCATGCTGCAGCTTTAAATCTGATGGCTCGCCGAGCAGGTTACCTGGTCAACCTAGTAGACCACCAAGTGCACTGGTTGACCACCAAGTGCCTCTGGTCCACCACCCAGGTCCACTTCTAGTCGACCACAGCTCCCGTCGAGCTACCCCCTGGTCGACGGACCCCTCCGTCGACCAGAACTGTCTGCTGTTGTCGCGAACCCTATACCCTGCAGCTCGACGAAGCCCGTCGAGCAGCTCCCTCACTCCGAACAATCGGCTGCTTCTTCCGTGCACCTGACCAAGTCGTCGGCGTTGCCCAAGCGAGGGCAGTGCCAACACTCCATTTCCGTGAACATTGACTTTGTTGGCTTGGCTGTTGCCTGCCCCTCTGCTGGGGGAGATGTTTGGCTGCCTCTCCTCCTCTTTGCACGGTCAGCTCGACTTGAGAGTCAGCTGGAACCCTGGTGAATAGGAGCGAAAGGGGATGGAAAGGGGTCAAAAGGTTGAAGAGGGTGAAAGGAGGTGAGGCGAAGCAACAGGAGCACAGGTAAAACCATTAATCAGCAAACACCTATAGTAAGGGACTGCTAAGTAATGGTAACAAGTGGATGGAATGGAACAAACAGTGTCAAGGAAGGTAACGGCCGTGCAAACCCATAGAACCAGAAACAAACAGCGTACATGTGACAAAGAAATATGATACTCCACCAACAACCCCCCATACACCCTCGAAAGCCCTAGAACCCTCCAGAACCGCACTCATTGCAGTTTCTGAGCAGCGTCATAAGGCCTGAGCCCTTCCACCTCCTCGCCACTGACTCTTAAAATCACGTTCCTGGGAGCCACAACCGCCTAGTCTACTGAGCTGGCTCCTCTTAAACCCTCCCCAAACCACCAGCTGCAGCAGGTGGCGGCGCTGGTGTCACCACTTGGTGAGGGAATGGCGGGGAGGGGGGGAGAGACACTTCGGGACCTAAGGAACAGACTCCTCGAGGAAGCACGGGAACTGCTAAGGGAGACGGGGGACAACAGAAGAGGGAAGGGCCGCGTACAGGAGCAACTGTCAAAACACATCAACCTTAGACGCGCGGCAGAGTTGGTAGGCGACACTCGGATGGACAAGCCCAGGGAAGACAACGGCTATGTAATCCGACTGATTAGCCTACAGGGGGTGGGGGCGGGGGACTGGCTTCATGCCATCCCCACTCGGGCAGACCTGACGTTCTCGCCGGGACAGTTTGCTATAGCCCTGGGCTTCCGCCTGGGATTGACTCTGTCGGTGACCGACAACTGCCCATACCAGGGGGAGCGGGGGAAGATTGGGGACCTGAGCCTACCAAACCACCTGCTGCGGTGTGGGGAAGGGAAGGAGAGGACAAACACACACAACACCCTAGTGTATGCAGCGCTGCGCATGCCCAGGGAAGCTGACTACCTCACCCTGCATGAGACCACGGTCTACTCGCAACCAGTCAATACCCAAGAGAGCGGACCTGGCCATCAAGGACAAGGAGTCGGCCGAGACGTACGTAACCGACGTCACGGTGACCGATCCCATACTGCAGCGCCGCGACACCAGGGCGGTGAAGCTGCCTGGCTGGGCGGCGGAGGACGCAGCGAGAGGGAAGAGGGGAATGTATGAGGGCCGCGCGGATTTCGTGGGGGTGTTCGGGCTTGCAGTGGAGACGTATGGGGCCCTGGCACGCGACACACTGCGGTTTCTTCGGCTCTTGGGCAGACAGGCGGCTAAAAGCCTCATCAGCAGGCTTGTCGACCTGGGCGTGGCGTCGGGGCGGACGCAGGCACACCCGCCAACAGACACCTCGAACGACGTGACCACCATTTTGTTGGTCAGGTCGAGCACCTCCCAGCTCGTACTCTCCGGCGACACGCCCAGGTGAAGCCCCCAGTGAGCCTTCGGCGCCAGTTTCTCACCGCGCTGTTGCTCAGCTTAACTCTGAGATGCCACATTCTTTTGACACATCGGTGGACGAATCCTCGACCGTTGCTTCCGACCGTCTGTCTGACGATCTGCTGACGTCACCTAACGCGGCAACTCCGCCAGTCAACCGTTTATCAGACGACCTCCTGTGCTCCGTCCTCCGTCTAGCTTCCGCCGACGACTCTCCCCCGTTACGTCTCTCGCTTGTCTGCAAGCGATGGCTTGTCTCATTCAGACATCCATTCCCTCCACCTTCTTTGCTTCTATCAGCGCTCGAAAGCCACCTTCTCCGCGCAAAAGCGTCAGCTGCAATGTTAGCGGAAGCAGCAGCAGGAGCAGTACGATAAACAGCACCGCCAGAAACAGCAGCAGCACCAGCAGCAACACGGGAACCGTTCCCAACAATTCCAGAAACAACAATAATTCAAGATTCAACTACAGCATCCAAGGACGCCCCGATAGAGTCGCTTACCTCCTAAAATCCCTTTCCAGGTTCTGCGGAGATAACTTAATCATGGGGAGCTAAACTACGGGCTAGGCACGAGTAGGAGTGATCTCTGCG